AAAAAAAAAAAAGAATTGTGTTTCCTACCACCAATCAGCAAGCCCAAGAACCAAGGTAGATGCCATCCAGATCTTTGTGCTCTGCCTCACTGCAGACGACCCCTTCTCCCCAGTCTATGGTGAGCACCCTGAATCATGGCTTTGGCCCCAAGGAAAATGGGCTGGGAGGCACAAGTGGCAAGAGCCTTGGCCCTCAGTAAAAGCCAGGGTTCCTGACCTCCTCTCTGACCCTCCCAGCCTTTCTCCTAGAGGCTGCCCAACACTCTCCCCACATTGCACTGCCTATCACAGCCTGGGGCGGCCACATCAGCTTCCTAGAAGGGCTGCTCCCCTGGCAGCAGTGCTACATGAGCTGCCTCTTGCATCCTCTCTGACCCTCCCAGCCTTTCTCCTAGAGGCTGCCCAACACTCTCCCCACATTGCACTGCCCATCACAGCCTGGGGCGGCCACATCAGCTTCCTAGAAGGGCTGCTCCCCTGGCAGCAGTGCTACATGAGCTGCCTCTTGCATCCGTATGCCAGAGCCATCTTCCAGCACCCGGCAGAGCTGCCTGACCTCAGGGTTTGCTCACCTTCTAAGGACAGAAAGAAATGACAAGAGTACCATTTGGGATTTCAGTTCAGTCTTCCCTTGTTTATTAAATACCAATGTTTCCTGCTTAATGGGCTGAAGTTCATCTTCCCTTTTCTCAAGGCAGGGATGGACTACCCAGGAATTTATTGCATGCTTAGCCTGGTTGGCTTGGCGCTATCCACCTGAACCAATAAATTACTACCTGAGTCTTCCTTTTGGCCCTTCCTACCCTGACAGCAAGTGTCAAGCCAGTCCTTGTGCCAGAAAATGCCAGGAGCTTTGTGTGAAAAGCAACTGGCCACAGGCTATGTGGACAGAAGAAACTCATTGTTTGTGCAGGAAGGACAGCAGTGCCTCCAGGCTCTTGGGCATCTTCACATCTCTGGAGAAAGGACAAGCTCAACTCTGGAGCCTCTGGTAGGTAGAGAGAAGGAGGCAGGTTACATGGCCTATGCTTCAGATACCACTGTCCTGGGTGGATCCACAGATGATGAACACAGGGTCCCCAGGACCCACAGTCACGCAGGGCCACAACCAAGTTGTAACTGGGAAGGGCAGGCAGTGCCTGTCAAGTCTCAGCAGAGGCAACCTCAGCTGTGGACCCAAATAGAGTGAGCAATGGGTATCCAGGCCTCCACTGTGCTCTAGAAGGTGGCAGTGTCTAGGCTCCTGATTCTCAGGGAGCAAGGAGGTTACAGAAAACCTGGAAAGGCACTCTGGAGCAGCAGGATGGTCACAACAATAAGCCCGACGCATAGCAGGAGCAGCAACCACACAGGAACACTCCCTGCAGGAGGGGTAAGGGAAGAGGTAAGTTGGCAAAGGGGCTTCACAGCCTGAAGACCAAAACCCTCAACCCATTAGTCAAGGAGAGAGTGGATGGCTGCAAACAAGCAGCCCATTGTCCAGGGGTCAAGTTTGTGCTACAGCTAAAGGTGAGGTAATATACCCATCCCCCCAAAAATGACTCACGTCGTGAGGGCAGCAGGTGCAGCTGGCAACGACTATCCACGGCCACAGAGAACAAGGCAGTTTCGTGGGACCCAAGGAGCTCTGGACCACGACCCTTCTCAGGTAGAAAGGCCACATCTGTCACCACAATGCCATGGGCCTCCTTCACATAATAGAGGCACTGGGGCAGGAGGAAAATGAGTGAGAGAAGGCCCAGTTGGGAACCTTCCTTCTGGAAAATGTGCTCCCTATCCCTAAAAGGCCTTCCCTCTACAGGCTGGGCCAGACTCCTTCCTGCACTTGGGGTAGAGGCAAGCCTACAGTCCTCCCACAAGGCTGTGCCAACCTCCACCCCATTACCTGGAGAGAGAAAGCTATGTAGATGGCAACAGAGCCAGTGACGGTGCCCAGGCCTAGGAAGGTGCCCGATTCACTGCAACAATAACAAACAGTAAAGTGCTCACTGTTCTGGAGGCCTGTGCAGCAACCTTCATTCACCAACCATGGTCCTCAAGGACTCAGGCAGGACTACTTCCCAAGCTCCCCCAGGGACCACCCCCCCTCAGCCGAGCCAACATTGACTCATACCTGATGTTGAGGCAGGAGATGACTTCATGACCACAGGACTTTGTCCGAAGGGGCAAGAAGGTAGAGCCATCCCAGGCTGTGAGGTAGCAGGGAGGGGACTGGCGCAGGCGCTTGTGGGGAATCTGCACAGTGAAGAGTCGCAGCCCAGCAGGCTGGTCTGGAACTTGCCCAAACCTGGGGGCCAGATGAGGGGCCCTTTAGTCCTTGGGGACTGCCCAGCCCTCCTGAGAGGTTGTGCCCTTCTGCACCCTGGTCAGGTCTGGAGTAACACCCGACAAGGCCACAATCCTCCCCAGCTACCCCCGTCTTTTCCCACTCCCCCACCACAGCTGGGCTGGGCCTCTTTTAGCCACCCTCCAGGATCTTCACACCTGCAGGCCTGGTAGCGGTAAGGTGTGGTAGAAAAGGTGGGTCCATTTTCTTGCCAGTGCAGCTGTGTCACCGGCTGATTCTTCTGCCACACGAAGGCCTTAAGGTCCCAACCCACAGTTACCAACTAGTCAGGAATAAAGATTCGAAGAATTGACAGTTAGGGGATCCACTCCCAGGGCAAGCAGCATAACAACCTACTCCCATCCCATCTCATCCCATCTCCCTCACCTTGCCATCAGGCGCCAAAGCTAGGTCTTCAATCTCTGCCTCATGGGCTTTGAACTCCAGAACCTTCTCCAGGGTGGGTACCTACAGCCAAACCACCACCACGGTTAGCCCCTGTATGCAGCAAGAGCACTATGATCCTCACCCCTCTTCTCTTCTAATGGCCACTCAGTGCAGGCTTCACTCACAAGTTTCCCAAAAGCTATGCATGTTCAGTTTCTCATAATTTTAGTCTCGCTGCTACTGACATTCATCCTCCCTAACTCCCCAAAACCACACCTTCCAGACACGAACGTAGCCATCTGTCCCTCCAGTGACAAGCAGGGTATTATCGTGGTTGAAGCGCACAACTTTCTGCAGTGGTTCAGGGCTGAAGTCTGTCTGCACCTCCTTCAAATTCTCTACCTTGAGTTCTACCCCCTCACACTGGGTTTCAGCTCCAGATTTCTTCTCTGCTGGGGCTGCCCCCTTCCTTTGTCGAGGCCCCTGCTCCTTGGAACCTGCAACACAAACAGCTTGCCAGGTCCCACTAGTAGGTAATACTGGCACCTCTCTCCATGGGAGATGTATACAGCTTCTAGCCTGCTACGATAACACCACCCCACTTCTTTAGAGAGACCAAGATGAGAGAGATCTTACTCATTTAACCCTTTTCCCAGAAGGTTAGAGAGAGAACTCCTCACCTGCCTTCTCGGCCTTGTTGCTGCCCTTCTGCTGATGGGCCTGGAAGCGTAAGAGCTGGCAGTGGGCATCCTGCCCTGCAGCAAGGATGTCACCAGCCAATGCCAAGTTCATGGTAGCCCGTGTCTCTGTGTCGTGGGAGTGCAGCAAGGAGGCGCTCAGGCACCCGTTAATCCGCTCCAGCTGCAGAAAGTGCTGTGGGAGGGGGAACCTGGATGAGCAAGGCTCAGGGGTGCCCAGAAGGCACATCAAGGGCAAACTTACATCCCGTGATCTGATGTCTTACCCCTATGCTTACCGTGCTTTCTAGTTCACAAAGCTTTCCCAGACTTTTTTTTTCTCTTATTTGTGCCTCACAAATCTATATACAGCAAACAAGGCTGGGACTACTACCCTCAGTTTACAGAACAACAGGGAGAACCTCAGAAGAGTGAAGGAACCTTGCTTAAAGGACA